CATAGAGACAGAGTTAGAAAGAGTGTCAGAGAGACAGAGACACATAGAGTAAAACAGACAGAAAGACATAGAGACAGAGTTAGAAAGAGTGTCAGAGAGACAGAGACACATAGAGTAAAACAGACAGAAAGACATAGAGACAGAGTTAGAAAGAGTGTCAGAGAGACAGAGACACATAGAGTAAAACAGACAGAAAGACATAGAGACAGAGTTAGAAAGAGTGTCAGAGAGACAGAGACACATAGAGTAAAACAGACAGAAAGACATAGAGACAGAGTTAGAAAGAGTGTCAGAGAGACAGAGACACATAGAGTAAAACAGACAGAAAGACATAGAGACAGAGTTAGAAAGAGTGTCAGAGAGACAGAGACACATAGAGTAAAACAGACAGAAAGACATAGAGACAGAGTTAGAAAGAGTGTCAGAGAGACAGAGACACATAGAGTAAAACAGACAGAAAGACATAGACAGAGTTAGAAAGAGTGTCAGAGAGACAGAGACACATAGAGTAAAACAGACAGAAAGACATAGAGACAGAGTTAGAAAGAGTGTCAGAGAGACAGAGACACATAGAGTAAAACAGACAGAAAGACATAGAGACAGAGTTAGAAAGAGTGTCAGAGAGACAGAGACACATAGAGTAAAACAGACAGAAAGACATAGAGACAGAGTTAGAAAGAGTGTCAGAGAGACAGAGACACATAGAGTAAAACAGACAGAAAGACATAGAGACAGAGTTAGAAAGAGTGTCAGAGAGACAGAGACACATAGAGTAAAACAGACAGAAAGACATAGAGACAGAGTTAGAAAGAGTGTCAGAGAGACAGAGACACATAGAGTAAAACAGACAGAAAGACATAGAGCAAGAGAGTAAGGGTCAGAGAGACAGAATGATGAACAAAAGAAATAGAAAGACCGAAAGAGACACAGTGACAGAAAGAGAGACCGGGACAGACAGACAGAGATTCACAGAGAGAGAGAAAGAGAGAGAGAGAGAGAGTGAGAGAGAGAGTGAGAGAGAGAGAGAGAGGGCGTACAGTTGTCTACATACGTTACAGAGATTGTACAAACAAAAAGTAATAAATATTCAAATATAGTACCCAATCCTGTTTATTATGAAACATTACAGAGACAACAAATACAAGATTCCCGTAGAATCCGCAGACAAAGAAGCTGCCAAGTTTGGAGGAAATGCGGCTTTTCCTTTAGTCGGCTTGTGTGGTGGTTCGAAACATTGAGTGTGGACATGTAGCTTTGATTTGACTGAAAATAAGGTTTGACAAGATAACGTGATTACACCGTAGTTTCCATAAATCTGTCTTAATATAAACTGTATCTGTATTAAAGCCATTAGGTATGATTACCAAAGAAAAGTACCATGAAGTTACACTGAAGGTATCAGGGAGTAAAAATAACGTAAGCATGGGGTTAGCATGAAAGCACAAAGAATTTAAAATTAAGTTATTATTGCTCTCCATACTTACCAGTGTCACTTTTGAAGCTACAGAGTTAGAATTACTTTTAATGACACTTGCGTTCATCTTGTTTTCTCTCTTCCTGGAACGCCTCGCGGCGTCAGGGCGGAAAAAGATCTCTGGAACGGGCCCTTCCGTTAGCTTCGAATAAAGTACCTTTCAGAGTCTCTGATATTTCTGTGGTGCATATTCTGCGTGGTCGACCGCTGCTTCTGTTACCAGTGTATCTGTATAACATTGCTCTCTGTGGTGCCCTGTCTGATGCCAATCTTGTTAAATTGCCAAACCATTTGATTTACTGTCTGCCTATAAAGTTCAGTACTGGTTTTACGCCGAATCTCCTGATATCACCGTCCCTTAGTCGATCTTTCCTCGTTACAGCTAGCAAAGTAGGTAAATATTTCATTTTTGTTGTGACTATTTTCCATCATTCTTCTGAAGACAGTGTCAATGTCAAGCACTGACAGAATAGCGTTGGTAAGAATATTGTGTTTAGCTGTGTCCCTCTAGTGTTCATATTCATACGCTTGCATTTCAAAATTTGTGCCATTTAGCCTAAAATGTGACTGACTTTATTGAAGAATTATGGTTATCCCCACTTAACAGTCACACTCCTGATGCAACAGACTATGTCTTACTTATAACAACACTTACCAGACAGAGTGCTCTCTTTACTTGCTAATAACACTCGTGAATTATGTTTCAACACACTTACCACATTCTAATGGTCAGGATTTTATCAAAATAAAATGCAGAAAATTGTCTGGGCAACAGTTACTATCACTAGTTATAAGACTGAAAAGGGGGCGCTACATTGAACACATTTGGAGCAGAGACAAAAAAAATCATCGAACAGGCGCTGAAATGGGAAACAGAGCGACTGAGGAAACCTTAGGGTGAACATTAATGGGAGAGAGGTGCTGAAGTTAATTCCATTCATGATATCGAAATGATTTCACAGGATAGAAAAGAATAAAGAAACATACTAAGAGCCCTGTGTGACATACATGAATGAATGAATGAATGAATGAATGAATGAATACTCACCAGTCACACTCCTGGGAACATTTATGATCGTTGAGCGTCTCATCCTTGGCGACCATGAGCATAAACGCGTCATCACATTTCTTGACACATTCATCTACAGTGATACCATCGTTGGCAGCAATGATGGCATGTACCTCGTGGGCAACCATGTTGACTGTTGGACAAATACGTTTAGTTTAGGTTGGAAAGTTAACATAGATGAGGGAACGAAGTTGTTACATTATATATTTGTTTACAAAGTAATTAGAGCATTCATGACAATATGACGTATCATTTGTCCCCACTGTCTGTATTTACCAATATTTAAGGCAGAGTAGACGGTGGGGTGAGGAAAGTGGGTAACTGAAAGTCTTAGGGCTTAGCTGCAGGGCTTCAAATTTTGCAGGTTAATTCTACCTCTGATAAACATTGACATTTCATCATCATTAATGTCCACTTTTGCCTTTAAGTGGCCTAGGTAAGAACAGTTTTCGATCCATTTCTCGATTGGTATAAATAAACTCAAATGGTTCCCCCCTCTATTTATTTATAGGAATGACGTATACACACCGGAACCTACCAATCAAATACCTTTCTTAAATGTTTGTGTATTCTAGACAAAGCAATAAGGTCTTACTGTGTTCGTAAATTGTTGCTGTGATTGTTATTCGACATTTGCTTCGTTAATATTAATTTCTGTAACCTATGGTGCCATTTCAATGGGTTGAAATGAATTCTGTCCATATTCCATAGTCGTGGATTTCAAGCTGTACGATAGACATGGCCAATGAGACACATTTTTTGGGGTGCCTAGTTGACCATGTATCTTAGTGCACTTGTATTCATGGCGAGGTGACAGGTTCAATTCCCGGCACGGTAACTATAGCTTTCGATTTTTATGTTGTCTAGTGTGTTCTTCTATCTTTCTACTTCTTTCTATGAGTGCCGTTCACAATACTTTCTGTTACTTGATTAATTCTCGATTGGTATCAATGGCTATTGTTATTCCATGTCGATGCACGTCTTTAATGTCATCAATTCATGTTCTCTCCTAGGAAAACCTCTCGCTTTCATATCAGATCCTTTTTATGTGTACCACCTGTGTTAAGTAGTTGTGGTTATATTCCAACGGAGGACCAAATCAGTTGATCTTCTGTATCTCACTGACTGTGGTGCACGTGTTGTTTCCACAGTCTGTCTAGCAGTATCATTTCTCGCAAGTTTAACCTGGCGGCTTTCGCAGGTCACTAGGGGAGGAGGGGTGGGGGAGGAGATGAAAAGTGTTTTGTCAGTCCATTGTAGTTTTAAGGTGTCTTTACAAAGGGATACAACTATGGTAATTAGTATTACTCTGTAATGAGTAATTTATCCTGTATAAGGACTTCAAATTGCATGTTCCAGTATTTTACTAACATGCTTAATAAAACTGCATGCTCCAGTATGTTACTGACATGCTTAACAAGTCCTCGTCTGCGACCAGGAGTATAAAATCCTAGCTCACAGCATGAAAAAACCTTATACAACTGTAGAAGTGTACTTTTATCAAAGAATGATAAAACTAAACACCAGGATATATCAAGAAAGATAAAGGTACAATTTATAAATGCAGCCAACTCTAGGTTACCAGTGTCAGAAGTAGACATATCCCATAACATATTTAAAATACCACTACGTACGTACACACGTGTGTGTGTGTGTGTGTGTGTGTGTGTGTGTGTGTGTGTGTGTGTGTGTGTGTGTGCATGCGTGTGTGTGTTTGCGTGTGTGTGTTTGCGTGTGTGTGTCTGTAGTGTGTGTGTGTGTGTGTGTGTGTGTGTGTGTGGGCGGGGGGTGATATTTTAAAGTACCACTCGGGCTTTCGTCCAGAAACCTAGTATAATGTATCGGTTGAACAGGGTTTCAGTGAGTTGTGCCTGGGGGATTCTTCTCCGTGTAATAATACAATGCCCTTTGTGTCACCGGGTGCTAATCGCTAAGTGTGCTGTGGCCGTGGGGCACAAACTCGCTTACTCCTTTTACTGCACGCTTATTTCTATTTCTCGGGTGCCGTTATTTAACTGTTTTATGAGGTCGAACAAAGTTTCTGGATTTTGTCATGTTCAACTCTCCATCTTAGGGTGTTAATCCTACAGAAAGCTGTCTTGAAGTACAAGACCACCGCCAGTTATCAAGAAAAAAAAAAAACAAGAGATAAATCTCACCATCTGTGAAATGAGATAATTGAGAGCCGGAGAGATGAAGACATTACAAGAACTATTGAAACAATACTCATCGTTATATTCACGAAAATCACTTCAAATGTGAAAAGAAGGAGAATGAAAGATTATGTGATTATTTAAAAGATATGGGGAAAGTAGATAGCGAAAGACAACTCCAAAAGATTCTTGACAGCCATTTGTCATGGCAGCACAGGAACTAATTCATATTGTTAATCGCAGGCTGTGAGTAAGAATGACCTCCCACGCCAGTTGGCAAGGCACTTGATAATGATGATCTGACTGGCTGAACTGGTTCAGCCACCTAATTAGAATAACATCGAGTTGTTGGCGGCGAAAGCGTACAATATGAACATTGAAACACGAAGAGGCAGAGGGTGTACTAGGAGAAGATGGAGTCACTAAAAGCTTGTTCCCCCATGTGGGTTCCGGGGCCCCATTGTGGGGAACACAAGAATAGATCCACTGCCTTCACAAAAGCATGTCGTAAGAATCGACTAATTGGGGAGCTTCCTTTGAAGTGGGAGTGCATCTGCCGGAGAGGCAAGGAACCAACAGTCTGTATTCAAGAGAATGAGGTCTGTAAAACTGATGCAAACGCAACACTCAGGTTCTGGAGCAGGACTGCAGGACTGCAGTTCAGTAGCGGACGAGCAACCAGAACTTTCCGCCAGAGTGTACAGCTGGTGAACACGAAGAAGAAGAAGAGACTAAAATCTTGAGACTTCACAATATCACAGCATACTAAGCAACAGAGCCCGCCCTAGCTCAACTAACGACCATCTGTTAAACTGCGAGGCTTATTGCGTCAACGAATCCCAAATCATGCAGAATATATACAAACCTATGTGTGTTTGTAGTATTTGTATGAACATGTACATCTTTAGCCCTACAATGTCTGGTTCTCATGTTACTTTATACAGTCGGGGCCCCATTATAATCTTACAGATAAACAGGTTGGATTTGTAACTTGTGGATTCTCATCCCAATAGTGACACTTTACGTCACCGGATATTAATCGCGGTGCTGGTGCAAAGACTGTACTTTAAGGAACAGCGGGGAAGAGGTTGGGGAAAAAAGGGGGCGGGGGATAGTCAAAGAAGAGGAGGGCAAAGATGATCTGAAATGACATCAAGAAATAAATAGGACTAAGTTATCATACACTCATTCATCAAGCGGTTTTGTGTGCTAGTGCATCAATCGATACACCTCCACGACCCTAACGGGTCAAGTATTATGTAATGTTACGTTAGTGGAGTTGGTAGGTAGGTAGTTGTACCCCGCCAGGACATCACACAAGCGATAAACACCCGGTGACACAAAGTGCCACCTTGCGGATGAGGATCGCCCGTGGAGAGTTTCCAGAAACCTTTTTCAACCGTTTGTCCGTATCTATGGCTTTGCCATATCTATGCTCCGGCTATATTCAGGGCCCCCGGCAGAAGCCAGAGTGGGACTTCACATTAACAAAAAACTACATCCCACTAGAGGACGACTTCAATATTTAGTAGAGTTCCACTTCACTCACTATGTGTATGAAGGTGTATATGTCTATATGTTTGAATGTATGTGTATATCTAAATATCTGCAAACGTGTGCATGTATACATTATGAACGTATGTATGCATAAGTTTCCTCGCATACTTACACTGAGCATAAGCTACTGCGAAAGCAACAGCGAGGAAGAGCAATGTGACCTTCATGTCGTTGATAGTATTGTGAATGTTCTGGCACAAATCGGTCGCTGAGAGAATTCGTTAATACCCAAGGGATGCAACCGCTTTCATTTATATAGCATTTGCAAAGAGTACAACCGTGCCAATCTCAAGGCCAAACAATATCAGCCAAATATAATCTGCTGATCTGGTACTTTCATTTTTTCCCCCTTTAAAATTATTATTATACATTTAGGTAACTATTACCTTCTGTGTGATTCTTTTCTGTTGATTGGAGACATGAGAAAATGACCATTTGTCGTAAAATAAACAAATTTGTTTACTTATTATGTAGATGTCGAGCGGATTTGTGGTATTTAGTTCTTAATCGTGACCACAATATTAAATTTCGTGGACAACCACCATTTTTTACTGTCTGCAAAGTGTGACACTAAACTGCGAAATTTCCGTGACCTTGAGTTTATGAAAATCTTTGTGGATATTTGTTGTATTTAATATAGTCTTTAATTTGTCTTCATCATCATCATCATCTTCTTCATCTTCTTCTTCTCCTCCTCCTCCTCTCTCTCCTTCTCCTCCTCCTCTTTTATTATCTCCTCCTCCTCATACTGCCATGCAGCCATTCCCTGCTGGTTGGTCAACGCAAATAAATTTGCAGGCTCTTGCTTCTTCTTTGCCTCCACGGCGGCTGTCCGTCTAATTCTGGGCGTCGGTATTTTTCTAGAACTTGAGTTTTGCGTGCACATCAGTTTTACAGGTCTGGCTTATTTGTATAGACTGTTCCTTCCTCGCCTCTTAGGCTGGTGCACTCCGACATTCGGGACAGCCACTGAAAGGATATATCTCCGTTCGAGGTCAGATGGCAGTGTTTTTAATTTGTCTAGGCTACGTGCAAGGACGAAGGTGCACACAAGATGCCTCAGGGATTTTCTTTTTGGCGAATGATGCAGCTATTGCGACACATACAGATGATGATCTGCAGATCCTTATGAATCGCTTTGCAAACGCATGCATAGAATTTGGGCTTCCATCAGTCTGAACAAAACGCAAGTAATGGTAATGAATGTTGAAAACCCACCAATCATTAGTGTTTATGACCATCAGCTGTTGGCTGCACATGAGTTTAAGTACCTAGGCTCACGAATCTCAGGCGACCATTCCCTAGATGCAGAGATAAGTAGACGTTTAGGAAAGGTCTCTACAGTATTTTCAAATCTCATTAACAGAGTTTGATCAAATAAAAAGCTGACTGATAGTACCAAAATAAAAGTGAACGAGTCTTGTGTCTTGTGCCCGTTTCTGGACTCTTTATGCTCCCTGAGAAAAGAGACGGAATACCTTCCATATGATTATGATGATGGTGATGATGATGGTTGGGATAATGATGCTGATGATGATGAAGCTGATGATGATGATGTAGAGGATGATGATTATAGGGATAATGGTGATGATGATGATGATGGTGGAGAGGATGATGATTAAAGGGATAATGATGATGATGATGGGGATGATGATGATTATTACTCCAGCTGAAAGTTCTCGTTGTTCGTCCACATTAAGACTTAAGTCTTGTTCCAGAACCTGGGTGTTATATATACGTTTTACAGATCTGACGTATTTGTATGCAGACTCTTGGTTCCTTGCCTCTAGGGCAGATGCATTCCGACTTCAAAGGAAGCCTCCAAATTGTCGACTTCTACGACATGCTTGCTGAGGCAGGAAGTAATTCTATTCTTGTTTTCCCAACAGTGGGCTCCCGGAACCAACACGGGGAGGAATGATGATGATGACGATGATGATGATGATAATGTCCAGTGCTACCTACTTTGTAAGCAATTTAATAAAGAAAAAAATATATAACATTAACCTGCAATCAATATTATTCTTTGGTCCCCTTTATTTATGATCAGAAGTCACGCACGCACAAAAGTTTTGCAGTCACGTCTACAAAGTTGAAAACAGCTGGTGGACATCAACAAATGTACTCTGGTAAGAAATCAGTCACGTCTGCAGATTTGGGTTCACTCCAGCCAGAGGACAACATTGAGACTAACACGCCCAAGGCTAAGGTTTGGAGAAACGCACTCTGTTTACCCGGGGGAAAAGCCGGGTCTTAAACTAAATTTTGCTTCAACAAATAGACTGCATTAATTTTTTTTTTTTTTCGGGGATGTCTTTTTTTCCCCAGGCAAACAAATCTACATTTATTCATCTACAAAATTCTACATTTATTTGATTACAGTCATGTCATTTTCTGTCTTCTAGAATATCGTCATTATTTCTCTAAATCCCCGCTCCGACTTGAATTTCTTGCGACTCTATTTCCTGAAGATCCCTTGGCTCGTTTCTAATGCCCAGCAACCCCCTTTGTTTGTTTTAGTATTCAGAAGTTAAGAGTTGTTAACCCTTAGGCTCGGTATTGTGGATATCGCAACCTTTCGGCCTTGATTCCATTGTAAATACCGTAAATCTGGGAGAAAACGTGGCTTTCCTGCCTACCCCCAGGATTGAACCCGGATCACAAGGAGTTTGTCACCCGGTCTCCGCGCAATCCGGCTTAGCCAACTACGCTAGAGAGCCGGGCAGCAACCCTCTTTAACCAAGACCTTGCAGTACTGGGACAAAACACAAAGGATCTAGGGGAGACAACCTCGATTAAATTTTCAAAAAAAAAAAAAAAAATGCCTAAAGTGGATCTACGTGCTGAGAGGCTAAATGATTGTGGGGTAGTCAATCGTGAACGTGGACGTCTGGTCAGCGGGAGGGGCGGCGCTAGGCGTGTGGACTCCACAGTGACTTCCATTACCTCTTCCCTAGCAGGCAGGCTCTTCTAGGGTGACCGGCTACTTCCTGTGTCATAATAATTTATTCAAATGCATTTTTCAGTTCATAAGAATTGCTATGTTATTAATTCCGTCCTTCTTAGGATGTTATTTTTTGTTATTTAAAGCCCCACTCTGGCTTTTGCCAGGGGCCGCAATATAGGCAGGTCATCATAATGGCCAAATGTCTGAACGCGGTTTCTGGGACCTCTCCACGGTGATCCTCATCCGCATGGTGGCACTTTGTGTCATCGGGTGTTTATCGCTTGTGTGATGTCCTGGTGGGGTAAAAAGCCAATCCAATCCAGTTCATAAGAATAATCGCCGAAGCAACGGAGCGCGTGCTCTGCGCTTGACGTCATCTTCAAGAAGCAGCAAAGAGAGAGGGAAGATGAGAAAACGAGGAAAGGATGAGATAAGAAAGCAGAGAAATAGACGGGCAGGAGCCAGGAGATTGCAGTTCGCCGGTGGCTGGAGAATAAACAAGATTCATACACATGTCGTCAGTGTAACACGACTCTAAATGATGGCTGAGAAAGGTGAAGACAGGGATGCTTCGAGCAGAGTGGCAAGCTTCACTGTGAAGGTCACTGGTAGTGAGCATACTTTGGATCTTTTCTCCAGGCTATGCCGGCGTGGTGGGAAATGAACAGACAGACAGACTGGCTAGATCTGCACTACTGGATGGCGAACTGATACATGACAAGGCACATGTGGTCAAGGCCCTTTGGGAACAAGCAACGAAATTAGTAGAGAAACAAGATTATTATGGCCTGGGGAGAATGGGACACCTAGGTGTAACCAGAGAGTCTTGCCGGCTCACTACGCTCAGAGGAAAGGCAAGACGGACATATAACCAGGTTGTGACCGGTAACATCAGTACTGAGACTCTGCGCTGGTTGCTGAAGATGAAGACGGAGCACGCGTGGGAATGCCCCAAGTGCTGTGATGTCAATTCTTGACTCAACTCAACTCGTGTCAGTGAGTTTATCCCACGAATTCTGCATCCGTCACAACTTCTTGTCAGTTTTCACGCTGATTTCTCTCTATTCTCTTTTCAGTTTGGTCGTTGCCTTCTGTGCGCAAATTGTCCTTGAATGGCCTGTTAATTGTGTTATCAAGAGTCTCGAAAAAAGAAGTCATTCATGTCCGAATCATTATGTGATCTATTCTTCTCTCTGCAAGGAATTAGGTTTTTCATGTCTTTAGTGCTGTTGTTGCTGGCTGAATCCCAAAATAGCAGACCTCATTTACTTTTTTTTTTTTTTATCTAGGACTTTATTTAGGGTAGGTTTTATATTAAAAGCGTCCTGAATAATCGTGGTATGGCTTTTTGATGGGCATTTCTTTTTTTTCGTGGAAGCACGGTGTACAGAACTAATATATCTAAGTGATCGGGACTGGGTTAAGCATGCAGAGACGATATCCCCAACTGTTCAGGATCAGAGGACTGCATGTGAAGACGATATTTCCAACTGTTAAGGATCAGAAGACAGCACACGGTGAAGATATCCTCAATTGTTTAGGATCAGATGACAGCACACTGTGACGATATCCCTAACTGATCAGATTCAGAGGACAGCACACGGTGACGATATCCTTAAGTGTTCATTCATTACTGAAGAACATTATACATGGACAATATCCCCAACTGTTCAGAATAAAATAGCAGTGTACAGGGATGATATTTCTAAGTCTCCATTGTAAGTCGAGATTACTTTATTACTGCAGAGGAGTCGATGGCTGCTGTGTTTATGTGCCAGTGGAAATCACACAAAAGGCTCTTCACTGTCCCATTTGAAAACTAGCGAAAAACTTGTCATTCCCAGCAAAGTCTCCAAGTCTGAACACACAAAGTAAAAATGTAAAAGTCAGCTGTCAGATGTGCCAACACTAATGGTCCCTCGTCAGAATTGCGACTCACTTGTGACGCACACTGTCAGTCACGAGCGCCGGCATTGCGCCAATGAAAGTACACGCTATTCTTAACGAAATCGGTCTTCCAACATTTTAGTGCAACGACAACCCTAAACAAGTGATTTCCGCAAGACCATTATGAATCGCCTTTTGCAACATTCTTGCAAAAGACCAGTGTTCCTTTCTACTAGCCGCCTACCATCTATAGGTCCCCAAAATCTATTGGGAGGGGTGGGGGTGGGGGGGGGGGTCATTCACTACCTCTTTATATATTTCCCACTATAAAAG